TTCCATCACCATCACTGTCACTGTTGCCGTCGCCATCTCATCCTCTTCATTCTTATTTGTGAGTTTTTCACCTCCATTCTTTTCGTGGATTTCATAGTTTTTGTGGTTTGATATGATTATTTTTTTTGGTTAAAAATATGATGTTTAATCTAAGTTTTTCACCTCCATTCTTTTCGTGGATTTCATAGTTTTAGTCTTTGATTTTATTAGATCTAAGTCTTTGATTTTATCTTTATTAAATCTTAGTGGCTTCGATCTGGTGGCTGAAGGTGAAGCTAGTGATGTTATTACGGCAAGAAAGAATCAATATTTGCTCCATCAGAATGCTTTTAACTGGTGAAAGACTTCCTTTGAGGCTTTATTCTCCCATTCCATCTTGATCAGTAGGGTGAAACATAGACTAAAAAAAAATTTTCACTACAGTTATTTATATAACCGCTGTGAAAAGTCACATACCACGGTGGTTCTTAAACCGCCGTGAAATCCTCTACATTTTATGTCGATGGCATAGACGTCGGTCTCAAAACCACCGTAAAAAGCTCATTTTAACTGCCGTTAAATGTTTTTTTTGTAGTAGTGATCTCTCCTCTTGAAAAGAGTACATGTTGAATAATTTATAGACTAAGAATCTTGAAAACCCTAAAATGAAAACCCTCATTGATAACCTAAGCCCTAAAAGCCCATTATAAGCTATTAGAGCTTAAAACACCAACTAAATAAAATGCATAAAAAATAGATGGGAAAATGCAAAAAAAATAGGAAAATTAGAAGACCTTCTAGAATACTCTAACTTGCTAGTCAAAATAAAATAATCTAGATCACTCACTACCTAAGAGGATCCCATCATTAATGATAAGGATCTTATTTGACTCTACTAATTAATAAAAATACATATTAGGAAACTCTTTGCCTTCGAGAAGTAATCAATATAAAATAGGAAACTGTAAAATAGGAAACTAATTAAAACAAATAGAATCATATTTAATGTCATATAAGATCACTCATGATACTTCTTGAATCTTCATGGACCTTCCAACTGGATCTTCATAATTGCTATTCATGTCCATAAGCATGCGTGGGCCTTTTAGACATCCATTTGGGCTTGAATATGATTGAATCAAATTCTGAAACTCACATGGTCTACAATATAATGTATTTGGGCTCTAATTTAAAAGATTATAGCTCCAATAGACTTCTTCAAGTACATATAATTGTGTTGGGCCTTTAATAACATAGAAATTGACTTCAAATGCTCCTTTTGGGCTCTTAGAACGTGCTCTTGTCTTTCTCAAGGTTGAAGTGTCCAGACTCCAATGACTCACATGCCATGGTGGCTTTCGGGTGGCCTTCCATATGTCATGTTAAGCTCCACATGTATCCATGTCATCATCTAAGCAATGATCTATGTCATCCTCCATATAGGCATTCTTGACTTATAAATTCCTTAAATACTTTGGAGGGCATATAGGGCCTCTAACTGAATGAGTGCTATTTCAACTTCACTACCTCCACATTAAACGCCTCCTAGTATGCTATCATTCATGCATTAAAAGTGGAGAGATAGGATTTTTACAACCTTATGATAAAGTGGTTGATTAAGTGGATTTGAGAAAGAAATACCCCAACTTGGTGAATAGAGTGAAACAGTTATATCTTGAGTGTTCTTCTCTTTTGTTCATTCCTATTACATTGATTGTTCTCTACTTTAATCCCTTCTCATAAACGTGGATCACTATGATTGCTTTTTTACTTTGAATTCATAAAGATTCCCATTTGTATTATTGCTATTCCCTTCTTTGGTCTTGTATTGCCTTTGTCCAGGAATACAAAGGTTTAAGTGTGGGGGAATTGATTGGGCCCAATTCTTTTATATCTCTTCATATCTTTTTCAGGGCTTTTATCATAGTTAGTAACTCTTTTAGTGATAATTGTGCTTGATTTAGATTGAGAGTTGTTACTTTGAGTTAGTGTTTTTTTGAGTATAAAATTGTCATAATTAGTTATTAATTGTATTCAATTGAATTTTAGGACAATTAATGCTTCAAATTGTTTCTTTTTATTGCAGGAGCCAAGATTGGAGATCAAGGGATTATACAATACAGGACCTAGAATATTGTTCCTAGAAAGCTTCGTTGTGACCAAGATAATTATGCACCGCAGCGCAATTGGAAGATGTGCATTAATGTCGTCTCGAGATGTCTTTGCCACAACCACAATTCAACTTCGCCGTGACAAACAAAATTTTGCTGAAGCTCCTTTCAGGAAAGCTTCACCGTGGCAAACAATTCCCTTCGCCAGGGTGAAGTCCTCATATCAGCAACCCAGATTCAGATCCTAATCATAAAAATAGAGTACTCACTCGTTAAATCCGACCCATTTCACCCCCTTAAACATTTAGAAACCCTATTTTTGACCTATCACTCCATTCACTCATCCATGGCCTCCCCCATTCGTCCTCTCTCATTTTCCCCCGTTAAACCTTTATCTTCTTCTATTTTTCCTACGTTTTCCACCATGGGTATCTCAAAATCATTGATGATTGTGGTGCTTCCTGCTCCAGTGCGTGGCTAGGTATCAGTTTTCTTGAAGATGGGTTGATTAGCATGAGTTCCAAGAGCTTCAAAGGTTAGTTGATTTCATCGATAGTTCTAGTTGCTCTTTTATGAATTCCTAGATCTAGGGTTTGTAAAATTGTGGCTGAACTATGTTGATTATGATTGTAATTAATTCTAGATGATTATCTTGTGTATGGGATTAGTTAATGTTGAATGTGAGCTTCTGTATATGTGATTACATATATGTTTCTTTGTGATTCTGTTGATACTCTCTTTCTTGCATGATATTGTGTAATTGTTGAGTTAATCTAGATTTACATTGAACCAAGTACATTAATTAATTGTAATACAAATACTTAGTGCGCTTCATAGGGTTTTATGATTAGATGGTCATTTATTAAGATCCTAAAGTTAAAGGATTCTTGAAAGTTTTTCATTTAGAAAACTTAGTGATTTCTACTCCTAAAATCATTTTGAGCTATGATTGCCAAAGATCTATTTTTAAGAGGTTCAATCAACTGTTTTTAATACTTATTTTTCCATCCATTCCATCCTAATCTCCTGAAAATCCAAAATTATATTTACATTACACTTTATTTCAATTAATAGTTTTAAATGAAAACACCTCAACTTTTTCCTAGTCAATCTATGTTTTTATGACATTTAGTTAACTTAGGGTCAATAACTAATGGCTTTAACAAGAGAACGACCCAGGGTTGCACCTTATAGTGCTATCCTTAGATAAATTTTGCATTTAACCCTAAAGCATTAAGCGAATGGTTAAATCATCCATTCTTCCAAACTTAACCCTTAACAAAATATATTATTCTGTCCATGTCCTCTCTCCCCCATTTTGGTGCCAAACCATGCAAAAAAATTAGGAAAAATTTTGCTCCAACAAGCTTTTAGTTATTATACTGTATAATTTTTCAATATCGGTTAAATTTTTTCTGGGTCCTATCTAATCCAATACTTTTAAAAATTTATCTCTCTGCCAATAACTTCCTTCTGATGAGGAGAGGTTCTCTTTTTTTCTTTCATATTTAATTTTGACCTATAACTCTTTCTATTCAATTTTTTCTAGAATCAACTTTATTTATTTTAAAGCTAACCTCCACACTTTTAGAGGTTAGCAATAATTTTAAAATTTATAATAACCTTTAAAATAATTTTTCTCATTTTTTCATGAATTACTGAGGCCTCTATATATTTTAAATAATTCATTTTGACCATTTTTTCCTAATCAGCCAAAAATACCATTAATTACAAAAAATTCAAAAATAAACTATTTTCATGTTTTCATCTTTCAAGCCTCAAACACTGTTCTAAACCTTTTGTTCTATTTTTTATGAATTTTTGGATATTTTTGAGAATTTCGAGCATAATTTCCTCTTCTACTCTCTTCTGGACCAAAACTTTTTAAAACGACAGTTTCACTTCAAAAGTTATTCTATCTATGTTTCTACTATACTGTCTGGCCCTCAATCAATCCTAAATTCCTCATTTTGCATGTTATAATTAATAGGATATGACATGCAACATATATTTTGATTTTAGGAGAGGTCCTATAGGTTTCCAAAATTAAAAAAAGTCTCTATAATTTAGGTAAATTAAAGGGGAGGTTAATATATTTTACTCAAATATATTTTAATGTATTTTGACATTTCTTGTTATGAGTTTCAACCTAAAATGCTTATGTCATGATACTAGATTTGCCCCACGATTTAAGAAATTCATTACAAATAGAAAAACATTTTATCTAATCTAAACCATAAAATTTTAAAAATTGTTCACTAAGGCATAGAAAATGTAAATATGAATTTTGAAAGAAAGAACCTAAAAGTGTTACTGAATACATGTGTGCATCTAATAGAAATTTCTACCCAGCTTTTTGATGCCATGTTGCGTTTGAATTGGTTGAGGCACAATTTGACCCAAAACAAAAAAACAAAAAAAGAATGAGTTGAGCCACCATACAATTCAACTAGGTTTTCTAATTTGATTTTGAAGGAAACTGACAGTTAACTACTTATATTTTTTCAATTAATACAAAATTACCATATCTCTTAGCAAAAATCACCAAACAAAACCACCGAAATTAAAAAAAAAATTGTAAATAAAGACATGTTGATATTAATATGAGTTTTAACAACAATAGTATAGGTTTTGACAACTTTTGTGAACAGATCACTATATGCAATTTTTTAATTTCAGCAATCTTTTTCTGTGATTTTTCATATCTCTTTTCTTTTAATCTTTTAGTGCAAATTAAAAAGGGAATCATGCTACATGATGAGAGAGGCAACATTCAATTTTTAATTCATGATAAGCACAATTGTACCACCTTCGACTTTAGAGTGCTTCGTGTGCCAATAATTGAGACAGAACTTTTAAGTTAATCGAAAATTCTTTAACCCAAAGTCATTTTAGAATTGATGATCAATGTTAATATCCACCGGCCAATACTCAGCATTGCAACAACTTTAACACCAACAAAAAACACTACTCAAAACAGTTTCAGATATTGAGTTCTCGTTGTGAAATAGTTGAGGAGAGACAATGCTCTTTAACCCAACTTTTTAACTATCTGTGACGGGTGATGTTTCCATGAGGAAAATATAATGAAGTGCATGTGCAATGTGGAAGAAAAAAATTACATGCAAAAACAATAGAATGAGAAATTAACAAGAAATAACATGACCGGTTCATTACGAACCAGCCCTCAATACCCAAAACAAAAAGAAAAGCGCTACGTGAGAAAGTGTACATATTTGCAAGTTTAGGTCTTGACTCCCTGAAAAGACGAATATAGGATCCTGAAGAGTCCATCTGGGTTATCTGCATGTACCTGTTGAAGAGGAAAAGTTAGTTTCATTACACAATGACAAGCTACCACATGTACTACAATACTCCCTCGTTTCCATTTAAAATACAGCCACTTGAAGCGTAATTAATAGGCCCAATAGAATGCTGGACAATTATAAGATCTAAATATGACTCAATCAACTCACAACTCTCTGTAAGTTGAGCAATTCAAAGAAATTTCTATCCTCCAATTTACATTATTGGTACGACGCATGCTACCACTCAATAATCTAAATGTTGCACTTAACAAGTCTTTGACAGACTAATGGTAGCCTAGTTCCAACATACTCAACATCACAAACACGCGCACACACAAGGTTGAAATGCATTTTTGCCCTAAAAATACCCTTGGATGAGCTATGAACACCTTGTAGAAAATTGCAGGGCAACATAGCACATAATCTTTCAAACTCGGTACAATGTCCCCCTTTTTAACAATCAATAATACAAACCAAGAGACTTCCATTGACGCAAAATTGGTTATTAAAAAAAGGACAACATTGCAACAACATTGAAAGATTATGTGCTACATTGTTATGTAATTATCTTTAGAGTGCCCATAGCTCATTCAAGAATACTTCTGGAGCAAGAATGCACTTTAACACATATACATTGTGTGTCTCAAAGCCTGAAGATCTATCTCCAAAATCAACATAAATGCGATATGTTCAAAAGGTAAGGACCAACAAACACGCCAGCAAGCTTAAAGATCAACTAGAGAACACATTTCAGAGTTGATCTTAAGCATTCATGTTGGGACGAATAGATAGACAAGACAACAAAAGGGAATGTAATCAAAAAAAGATTTGTAGCATCATGCTTTTATTATTAATCAAAAATGTCTCTCTTTTTATTACTTAAGCAAGGACATAAGGTTATTTTATCATCCCAACCTCATTCATTTTTCATTTTTGTAACTAACTTCCCATCATACCAAACATAAAAGACATGCAAAGGGCACAAGCATACTCTACGTGACTAACTTACCCAGTGGCCAGCATCTTCAAGAACATGCATTTCAACTCCACCACCTTCCTCGGCAGCCAGCTCCTCAGCAGCATGGATTCGTTCAAGATCTTCAAGAGCCCATCTGTGTAGACTTCTCTCTGCTTTCAGAAAGTTCATATGCACACCACGAGGAACATTTTCAACAATTTTCCTACGAGAATGAAAAAACAAAAAAAGGAAAAAGCTAAATCATTGACTCCATAGACAAACTTTTCCAGAATGGATTATTTTTATTTAAATTTTAGTGCTTATATCATTAACTTAAAGATTCATGAGTGCATTAAATAAGGAATACTTTCTCCAGTTATGCAGCCAACATTTCTTATTCAACTTGCACAGGCAATTTAAATCATGATAATTCATGACAGGATCGACCCCATATTGTGCAGATAAGTCAGGGCAATAAAATTCACACAACTACAGCTACTATAATAGCTCATAACAAGTACCACAAATTTGTTTCTTCATATGACTGATACATTTCAGCAATCGCCTTTAGGTCAAACATCCACGAGAAGCTTGACATTCGTGAGCCAAAAGGACTGGTTGGTTGTAGGTTAGTGACTACCCACTGCATGCCAAAAATAAAATTATCATCACTCTATCAGGACACTATTAATATTATTTTTCTCTTTATCATGTTTTAAATGTATAAAGTCAATTTCATTATTCATAACTTGACACAGACAAAAACATATTTTCAATCAGTCATCAAAAAGCCTGCTCAACAGACTTGAGTGTAGTTATTTCAATTAGAAAAAAACATATATTGGTCTTGGGATCTTATGATTAATAATTCATTTAGTTTTACAGTAGCAGCATACATTTTACAATTAATATGAAAATGAATTGGAAAGATTAATAATTCAATCTGTATTAGTTCTTTTGAATTTTCAATTTTGTTCGTGCATTTTTTTTTCTTTTTAAAGGAATGTTTCTTCCTTGCCAAACGTTAAAATGTATACCCCTACTATATTTACATATTATACCAAATAACTTCAGAATGAGAACCCAACAGCAATCAATATTGATGAACGATGTGGGAACGTTACCTGCGCGACATCATTAGAAAATCCTCGTTGAATTAGAGCTTTGACAACTTCCCTCTTCGATGAGACCTTAAGAAAAAGATCATAGAACAATTATAACTTTTCTCACAAAGACATAAACTTAATAAATTTTTTAGCAAGAGTTCAAGGCTTCTACTAAGGGACAACCATAGTACTTTGAGAACCCTAAAGAAAAAGGGGGAATGAGAATTAGCATGATTGACATGCACAAAATGTTGAGAAACACATTTTCTGATAGAAAGATAAACGTTATTAGCAAGACAACAGATGAGGATAAGTATATCCTCTAAAAGCCAAGGAAAACACAAAAGAAATGTTCCCACATCTCTTGTGCTACGTCTGTGTCAAATCTAGCAAATCCAGAGAGCCCCAAGCAGCTTGCTTATCTTGTATAAGAGACATGGGTGAGAAGTCGCATGCTAGCATTGCTTGCTCAGGCCCTCAAGAAAGTGGGGAAGAGAGGAAGTTGAAGCATAGAAATCAAGAAGGCAACCAAGCAGTACAATTACTTTAGATATAAGGTTGGAGGAAGAACATCAAACATAAGTCAAACAAAAATCTCTCCAACAACCAATCAAGAGACTCCTTTATTGCGATCCTCTCTGATAGGCTTCTACCATTTTGCAGTGGATTCAACAGACAATAAGATAAAATTGAACATTGAGCAATACCTTTTACAGTAGGTTCTACTTTACACACAATAAAATATGCCACATCTCATGCTGGAATATAGAGAATACAAAACAACCTCAAGACTCACCAGAACACAAATGCAGCCACATAGCATCACCAAGTTAACAGCAACTCATTCGGCCAAATAGCATCACACATGAAGGAAGTGACACAAGACATAGAAGGCACCAAATTGAAGAAAAGAAATAAACAGCAACACAGAAATTGAAGTACACAAAAACAGGGAATAAACCTACTAGCATTCAGTAGGTTAGCAACTCTCAGATATTTTCCCCAAATCTTTTCCACACTTTCTGTCCCTAATATCCCTCCTAACTATCTCTTTATCTTCGTATCAGCAACTGCCAACTCAAACTCTTAACGTCCACTGAGTCAATTATTCACCAATAGGTATTACAAGTATACAACAAGATATTTGCAGCTTAAGGGAATCAAAGATCTCAATGAATAAGGAGCAGAACCAGCAATATGCTAAAGCATACAATACCCTGTCAATCTATCCGATAATCTCTCTCTCTGCTATAATCAGAAAATAATACATTAAATATCAATGGCTACAAACTATATATGTTAGTCGGCCCAACCACAAAGTATCTTAATTATGCGGTATTAATGTTTAGCAAACTATTGTTCAACACAGACACATGACATGCTAGAGCATTACCTGACCAATGACAACCCTTGCACATAGCCTATCAATCAAGTCCGTTGTTAAACTAAGTCTATAGATAATGGAAAACAAAGGGAAAAAAATAATATCAATATACCCATGGGGGAGACAAAAACTTTGTACCAGCATTAAGTTTGTTGGGTGCTAAGTAAAGCTTCTTATTCTACTACAGATTGAACTACAAGCACAAGAAGCATTACCAAAGAGTGCACTCTCAAATGAGTTATTAAATATTTGTTATTTCCCTATTCAACCATACTTTCATCCCACTAAGTCCCATGTACCTTATCCAATTAACCGGTTAGGTAGCTAAAAATGTTAGTTAGATGCTAAGAATGTTGGCTTAGTCAGATGCAACTAAACTTAACACAAGTGAAACAAGCAAGTTTAGCTGACAAGGAGATTCACTTCACCCATTGTCCATTCCATAATAAAATAGAAAATCATAAACAAATAGTTAGTAACACTTATCTACAATAGTTAATTCATTTTTGTCATTCCCCTTGGTTAACTTGTAATTAACACCTACTTACTCAGTAGTTTGTAATCGAAGCAAAGAGACTCAAGTAACAACTTTTGCTATGGAAAAGAGCTCCATCACGCAACTCTCCAATAAAGAAGTTGCTTTATAGAATTATAGGTTAGGCCACCCAAGTCCTAATTATATGTCTAGAATGTTTCCAAATTCTACTAATAAAAATGTTTTTTCCCATTCCGTATGAAGTGTGTTAACTGTCCAAACATACAAAAGGCAATTACAAAGCCCATCCTCATCAATTTTCTTACCCTTTTTCTCTCATGCATAATAACATGTAGGGACCTACCCGTGTTTCAACCTTAACAAATGCAGAAATGGTTTCTGACACTAATAGATGATCACACACAAAGTTACTTGGGTGTTTCTTGTAACATCCTGAATTTTATCGGGTTTTAATTACCTCTTTTGGTTGATTTTGAGGATAGATTAGTGATTTAAATGTTGATCTTGGTGTTTGGGTTGGAATTGAGGTATGTTGCAGGAATAGGTGAAGGTACCTCCCTCAGGGTATGTTAGCCGCGGCGAAGTTTTACTTCGCCACGGCACACCGGGAGTTCCAGGGGAGAGTATCCTTTCGGGAAGGTTTCACCGCGGCGAAGGTTAGGGCATGCCGCGGCGAAGATTTTCTGGGCGAGCGAGAGTTTCCTCTCGGGAAGCTTTCGCCGCAGCGAAGTTGGGTTTTCAGGCGAGTAATCCCTCTCGAGATTAGTTCGCCGCGGCGAAGGAGTCCAAATCTCTATAGTCGCGGGAGGGGTTCAGTGTGCAAAAATTAGAAAAATCTGAGGTAGAGAGAGAGGCTCTACTAGGGTTTCGAATTTCTGGCTTGAAGGGGACATTTCTAAGGATCCATTACCTCAAGTAAGTGATTTTAACCTCTAAGCTATCTTCTTTCTTGGAATTTATAAGGATTTATGGTGAAACCCTAGAGTTTTCTAGGTTGTTATGGAATTGAGGTTTTTGACCGATTGTTTTGAGTTTAATTGCTTGCTTTGGGTTAGCCTAAGTATTTAATCGGTGTAGTTTTCTTGGATTTGGAGAACCTTGAGTTTTTGAAGCTAGGGTTTATGAGATTGGAAGGTATGTGATTGAAGATGACAATGTGGAGATTGATTTTGAGTTTTGTGACTTGGGTTATATTAAGGAGGGTTAAATTGGATGTTTAATCGGTTTAGAATGTTGTTAAGACTCCAATTATTCAAATGGGATGTTTAGGTGTAGAATTCCTATAGTGGGTCCTTGAGGTTTGAACTCTAATTGATGCTTAAAAAGGGGATTTGATGTTTTAATGGACTTTTATGATTTTGGAGTGTTGTTTTGATGGTTATACCCTTTGAATTGGGTAGAGCTTTGGTTGGAGCTAGGAATTTTGTGTCCCCAAGTGTTGTTTTGGCCACATTATTAGTTTGAAAGCTAATACATAATGGTTGTGTGTTTGTGTGCTTGTGTAGACCGGTTGTGAGCCTTGTTGGTGCACAGACCGTATCGTTGGTTGTTATTCCTTGCTTAGGCGAGAAGTAACCACTTTCTAATCCTTAGTACATGCTTCTGTGGTATTGTGAGTAGATTTATGTTTTGTGCTCCGAGTAATAATTATGTTCAAAGTATATGTTATATATCAAAAGGAAAACCGTCTTGTGGGGTTTCGATTGATGATAAATGAATCTTGGAATCGTGAAAGATATGCCACTGAAAGAAGTTAATTATAAAATGTTCAATTACTATTTGATTATGGTTTGAGCATGATGCATGAATTGAGATTTGGTGAGAGTTTTTTATAGTCACTACCACGTGGTAAGACCTCCATTAATGCATGATAGTCACTACCTAGAATTGGAAAGGTTGGTTACTGAGACTCCGTCTTACCCCGTGGTTTCCAATGTTTTCAGGTGAAGTTTCTAGGCGTGCGCCTTTGGGAAGAGACGCAGAAGCTTGAGCTTGGTTAGCTTTAAGCCTCTAGCATTTGTTTATGTATGGCTAGTTATATATTGCCACAGTTAGGGTCCTTTTTAAATATTTTGATTACCCGGCCTTGTTGTAAATTGGGAAAATGTTTTCTCCTTATTTTAATTGGCCGGAGGCCATTTCTATTGCTTTGTGAGACTTTGTTATACATGGTTGAAAACTAATTGGATGGGCTGATTTTGATGTATGTTGTTACCCGGGCCGGAGGCTCGGAGGCCCAATAGATGTTAATGAATGATTCTTAGTTGCATGCAACAAAGTTCGAGTTTGAACCGAGTTTAAAAGTTAATTTCTAAAGTTATGTAATTTTTTTCTACTATGGTAGTTTGTTGTAACAGGTTTCCTTTTTTACCATAGTAGTGAATTTTACGACAAGTTTATAATGTTTTTGGGGTAAAGGGTTTTACATTTCTCACAAAAGAAAAATCAGACTTCACCTAAATCATCAGGAACTTCCACAAAATGATTATGAATCAATTTGACACATCAACAAAAATTCTACAGAGTGATAATAGGAGGAAATATGTGAACTCAAATCTTCAAGCATACCTTAAACAACATGAGATTATACACCAAATAAGCTTTGTAAACATACCGCAACAAAATGGGACAGCAGAAAGAAAAAATTGTCACCTCCTAGAAGTACCTTAATCCACCATGATAACCAATAACGTGCCAAAATTTTAATGGGGGGAAACACTTTTGACTGCCACACTCACAAATCGTCTACCATCCAAAACCCTCAACTTCAATACTCCAATCCATTATCTAAAACCTACCCAAACTCACTCATATTTTTGACAAAGTGTTCGAATGCATGGCATATGTTTAGCAATAACCATGGTAACAAACTTGACCCTCACACCATTAAGTACATATTTCTTGGCTATTCCTACACCCAAAAAAGGTACAAATGCTACTCACCCAGCTTGAAAAAAATTCTCTATCACAATGAACTTTAACCCTACTGCACCAAAACACCCATTCAGGAGGAGAGTGGAGAGGAATGAGAGTTTTTCCTTCCAGAAAATGAACCTCAAACAGCACCAAACCTTACTAGATCCACACCTAAACCCCAAACCACCGTGAATCCACCTTAGGCCGAGCCCATCCATTCTAGCTAATCATGGCCTCAATCTAAACCTGGACCGAACTGAAGAGCCCAGGAATGCTGGAAATGAGGAATCTGGTATGATGGACCCTAATGATCCAGAATCCAAAGAGAAGAAATCAATCTAGAACCCACAAAAGGCATGGAGATTGAAGCTGAGACAAATCAGCATATTGAAGTGCCCTCTAGTGTTGACCAACACCAAGAGTCAACTTCAGCTCCCAGTCCTGATGATCTCGAATGGCCTATTGCTTTGAGGAAAGGGGTAAGATCCTGTACTTGACATCCTATTGGTAATTCTTTTTCATATGACCGGTTGTCATCTTCCATGCGTAGCAGATCTTGTACTTTCCAAGAGGCAATAGAGGATCCAAATTGGAGAAAGGCCATAGAAGACGAGTTAAGGGCCCTAAATAAAAACCAAACTATAAATCACTCTATAGGTTGAAACAATCTCCCAAAGCATGGTTTGAGAGATTTACTAAAGCTGTCAAAAGTGTAGGATTTATTCCACGCCAGGCAGATCACACACTTCTTGTGAAACATTCAAGAGGTAAAATAGATATCCTAATTATCTATGTTGATGACTTCATTATGACTGGTGATGATGCAGATGAAATAATCAGAATCAAGAAGTCCCCAGAGAGAGAGTTTGAGGTAAAGGATCTAAGGCGTCTCAAATACTTCTAGGGCATACAAGTAGCAAGAATCCGTGATGGAATCTTTGTCTCTTGAAGGAAGTATGCCCTGGATGTATTGAAGGAAACAGGAATGTTAAGAGTCAAGCCTGCAGAAATTCTAATGGAACCTACTTGCAAGCTTGACAATCAAGAGGAAGATAAGGAAGATGGAAAAGATACTACAAGGGATGACCAAAAAAAAAAAAAAGACAAAGAAAGATCATATTCCTATTGATGCTAAAAGATACAAGAAGCTAGTAGGAAAACTTCTATATATCTATCTCATGCTCGCCCAAATACAAACTATGCAGTTGGTGTTATTAGCAAATTCACTAATGAGCCTAGAGGAACACATGAATGCAGTATATAAGATCCTGCATTATTTAAAAGTGAATCCACGTTGAGGACTCTACAAAGGGCAAATCTCACGAAATAAGAGCATATACTGATGCTAATCATGGTGGGTTTCTTCGTGATAGAAGATCAACTTCAGCCTACTGCATTATGGTGTGGGGAAACCTAGTGGCATGGAGGAGTAAGAAACAGACCATGGTTTGTGAAGGCTTATGTACACTAAGTATTAAGAGAATTGAAGTTTGCACCTAATGCACCTATAAGATTAAGGTGTGATAGCATGTCTGCCATGCCATGGCAAGAAACCCAGTTCATCATAAACAGACGAAGCATTTAGACATCAGGAAACACTTCATCAAAGAAAATGAGGATTTGAGAATCGTCAAAATAAAACATATGCCATCACATTGCCAAGTGGGAGACTTATTCACTAAAGCCCTAGCCAGACCATAAGTTGAAGAACTCAGAAGCATGCTAAAAAAGATAGACAATGAGCTTGAGGGAGAGAATTGACGATACTTGGGCCTTGGGCCTTCATTATTATGCAGCAGTTAATTAGATTAAATTTCCTGTCAATCTAATAGAGACCAACGTCCTCTCTTAGTCTATGCTAGGAGGAAGGACCGAAAGGAAGCTTAAAGAAGTCTTGTGTCCGTTTGTGTCAGTTATTTATGTCATTTATTTTCAGCTTGTCAGTTGTTTATGTCAATTATTTTCAATTATTTGACAGACCTATATAAACTTGTTATGTATGAAGTTATGGCCGGCAATATTATGAATTATTCAGATAACTCCTCGTCTTTCCCTTAGGATTATAGATTCTGGTCCTAAGTCTTCTTCTCTCCTTGTTCTCTTCTATTCTACTCTCTCTACTTTCAGGATTTATCATTTTGGCATCAAAGCCTCTTCCTGGTCCTGTTAGGTCAAAATGGTGAATACCCGAAACTCTTCCTAAAATAATCACCCAACCCCACTATTACCCAATCCCTCTTCTAATACTTCAAATTCTACAGCTTCTGAGTTATTAACACAACAGTTGGCAGCCATAATGGCTAAACTTAATTCATTGGATGAAGACATGGTAACGTTGAAGCAGCAACGAGATTTTCCAGAGCCGAAGGGAAGCCAAAACTCTGGTGGCAAACAAGTTTGTGAGGACATGGAAAATGATGAACAAGATGCGCCCTGGTGGAATAAAAATCCCAACCGAAGACCACACTCTAAGACAGAAAAATATTTTTGTTATTACCAAACTCCTGATGATTTAAAAGTTGATGTAGCGGCCATGAATTTTGAAGGTGATGCTTTAGATGTTTTCACTTGGGTTGCTTTAGGAAGAACCATTCATGATTGGGAGGAATTAATTCAAATAATGCAGGAGCATTTTGGTCCGACTAAATTTCAAAACCCAGATGTCTATTTATGTAGTATACGGCAAACAGGGTCTGTCTCAGAATATCAACAAGAATTTGTGAGGAGATCTTCGTGAGTTTGTGGGTGGCCTGAGCATTGCTTGTTAGCAGTTTTTATCAATGGGTTAAAAGAGGAACTTCAATCGGATGTTAAAATCCAGAAACCACGAATAGTTTACAAGGCCGCTAGTTTAGCATTGGAGTTTGAGGCAAAACTGTTGAACCAGAATACGCGTCATTATGGTTAGCGTTCTAACATAACACGTGTTGCTGTTGATAATTATTGTTCTCGTGAAACTAAAAATTATAATTCATATGGGCAGTTTTCGAGTTCAGTTACCGGCAATTCTCATGCAACTTCTAATAACTCCACCCATTCAAGAGCAATTACCTTTACTTCCTTCTAACTTATCGCAAATTTCAAACACCGAAAAACAAATTAAAAGGGATGAAGGTTTGTGTTATAAATGTGGTGAGAAGTTCTCTCTAGGGCACCGTTACAATTCTTCTTCTCTTAAACTTATGGAGATCAATGAAGAGCCGGAAGAAGTTTGTACTGAGAACATCAAACCTATGGCTACTATAGAGAGCAGGTTTGCAGAAATTTCACTTCAAGCCATTCTGGGCAGTTCGTCTACAACTACGATGAAAGTAAAAGGGATTTTGGGCAATCGTCAAGTGTTGATTCTCACTGATAGTGGGTCAACACATAACTTTGTTTCAAAGTCCCTTGTAACAAAGCTGCATCTTCCTACACAGCCAACCCCTGCTTTGGAGTTCAAATAGGAGATGATAGGCAAGTTGCATCTCATTCTATTTGTCGGGGGCTCCAGGTACAGATACACACCCTTACCGTTAAGGATGACTTTTTCCCTTTCACTCTTGGTGGTGTAGACATGGTGCTGGGTATTAAGTGGTTAGCTTCTCTTAATACAGTAGAAGCTAATTGGCAGAAGATGTATGTGATATTTTGGTTGGATGGGAAGCGTTACAACCTTCAAGGAGTCCCTAAGGATAAAACGAAAGCTTCTTTGCAGAGCTTTTCTTGTGAGGGAACTAATTCTTTCATTACTCAAAACTTACAAAGACTGTTACATTCCTTTTCTTCGATTTTTGATGAACCCAAGCATCTACCTCCATTACGTGAACATAGTCATGGTATACCCTTGTATCATGGGTCTGTTCCTCCCAATATTAGGCCATACAGATATCCCCATTCACAAAAAGATGAGATTGAGAAGCAGGTTGCTGAATTGTTGCAAAAAGGCTTTATACAACCTAGTGTGAGCTCTTTGCTAGTCCTGTGTTGCTAGTTCCCAAAAAAGATCCAACTTGGCATTTTTGTGTGACTACCAGGAACTCAACAAAATCACAATCCTAGATAAGTACCCAATACCAAATATAGATGAACTCATTGATGAATTTCATGGGGCTTCTTTCTTTTCTAAAATTGATCTTTGTTCTGGTTACCACCAAATTAAAGTAGTGCCAAAAGATATTCCCAAAACTACTTTTAGAACCCATTCAGGTCACTACGAGTTTACTGCCATGCCTTTTGGTTTTACAAATGCCCCTTCTACTTTTCAAGCTGCTATGAATGATCTGTTTAGACCACATCTAAGGAAATTTCTTGTTGTTTTCTTTGATGACATTTTAGTCTATAGCAGCAACCATCAAGAGCATTTAACTCATCTACACATTATGTTCCAAATTTTGTCCCAACATGAGTTCTTTGCTAATCCAAAAAATGCCTCTTTGCACAAACAGAAATTTCCTTTTTGGGTCACATAATTTCCCAAGCAGGTGTTGCGGTGGATCCTGACAAGATAACTTCAGTTATAAACTGGCCTCAACCTTCTAATCTCACTAAACTTAGAGGATTCCTGGGTCTTACAGGGTACTATAGATGTTTTATTCGTCAATATGGTCAGATAGCTAAGCTACTTACTAATATGACAAAGAAAGATGCTTTCCAATGGAGTGCAGCTTCAATGATCGCTTTCAATGACTTGAAGCAAGCTTTAATTAATGCTCTAGTGTTACAACTGCCTGATTTTTCAAAAATGTTTATTGTT